TGGCCAACTGTTGAAGTGAATTCTGTTTGTTTATTTTGTCCATCCTCTCTGGTGTTGTAATATTGCAGAGAATACTTTGCATAATATGTAGTTACAGTGCGTGCATCGCTTCGTGGTCAGCTGCTGGACTGTCCCCCCATCTTGGCATAGGTATTCATAAACTGTTGAGCAGCAAGACGAGGAAAAGATCTACGTCATGCCGAAGAATAGTGAGACATCAGATTGACAAAGTGGATTTTGCATGCAGCGTTTTAAATGCGCACTGTGAAGGCCAACAAAAAGATGGAATCGCTAAACTTGACTGAAATTAGAAAAGAATTGAGAGATTGTCAGCTACTACACAGAAAAATCTGAGAATCACTAGTAGTAGTGTGGATATGAGTGCAAGTACCACTGGTCTCATATATTTTCTTATTTGGAATACCTGGATAAGCGTGAAGTGTAGTTACTCCGTCCAGGCGCCGCTACTTCAACTGACTTCTGGTTGGCCAGATATTTACACCGCCATCCATCTTTTTCGTCAACTGCGAACTCTGCTTGCGCTATCGTATATTTTGTTCACTGCAGTGTTCTGTGGCTGCTATTCCATTGATTTGCTTTTTTTTTTATCTCTGATGCAGCTGATAACGTTCATGCGTTTTGCTGTCTTCCATTTAGAAACAAATTTTTGAAATTACTTTTAAGCTTGTTTGGTATATCTGATATATTACACAAAACTGAAGCGCACAGCGATATATACTTTGAGGCGTATGTATTTGTAGGATTTTCATTATGAAGGATACTTCTGTGCTACCTGAGCATTTTTTTCATTTTCGTCTGCAGAAATGCGATTTGGAAGAGTTAAAAAGTGTATTTTCCAGGAAATTCAAGAACAAGAAGCTATTGGATGGTATGGGAAGTTCAGTGAAGTCCTGAAAAAAGTGCAGAATGCAAAGGAAGCTGAGCGCGCTGCTGCTTTAGCAAGGTGTGCACCTTCTTTTCAAACATTCAAATTCATGGATGTATTTATCAGCTGTATTGTTCCAGATTAAAGGAAGTAGCCACAGCCGAAACTAAATATCCGGAAATGTTGAAAGAATTTCTGGACACTCAAAAAGAAGTAGCACCAGTGAAAAGCAAACAAGAATTGGAGGCGGAGCAGCAAAGAAAAGAATTACTGGAATATTACGG